AGGCAACATGACAATCATCAGTAAAAAGTGATGATGAACTAATACGATTTAAATCATTAGTATTAATAAAAAGAGATACATTAGCACATCGAAAAATAGGCATAACATTTGAAGATGTCATCGTTTTGAAAACTGTCTATTCAGTTGTAAACAATGTCCATACTTTGCAAAGAAAAACACAGATATGTGAGAGGAACGATCGAAGTAGTAATGGAACAACGCATCTCATAATAATTCATACCCAAGTCGAGAGATTAAATTGCAGGTAAATGAATAAGAAGAACATTATTTATTAATGATATCATGTCACCAATTGAATATTCGAATGTAATCGAAAAACCATTCTAAAAAAACAGTATATAAATATCAGTGCATTAGTAGTGAAGAATTACGCTAAGTAGTTTTTTGGTTGTCAGATTCAAAGTAATAGTACGTTGACTGAAAAAGAGATCAACAAGGTGAAGATTCTATTCAACTAAAGTCTTTATTAGCAATTAATGTCAGATGTTTTGAAATTTTTCTGATTCATAGAGAGTTTTCTCTAAACCATTTATTGTAACTGATGCAAATCTTCAGATTCTCGAAACAATTTTCAATCGATTATACATCATCATTTCTCTCATTCAAAATTATACAGATTTATTTCAGAATATGATATGATTTTTGAAGAACAGATTAGTTCTATTTTCTTTTCCGCAATGAAAAGTCAAATAGTTTCATAGGATTGTTTCAAAAATCTCTCATAATGAATGGAAAGTTCTAGTTACATAAATTACTGTTCTACAATTATTTTTAATTAAATTATATGTGTATCTAACAAATTGTGTCGAATGAAACTTGACGGTATTTTTATACCAACTTTTTTTCTAAAAAGTGATTTTATTTTTAGATAAATCTTACTATTCAAGTTTTGATCGATTTGAGGTTTTTAGATAATGACATGAATTCATTTTTTACACAATTCAATCGAACCGTCTAGTTTTTGCTTTTTAGAGATGTTATGAAAAATTTCCAAAGAAAACTAATACATTAGAGTTTTCAAACGAGGTAAATAATGCTAACGAGTTAATTGAAGTGGAGATGCATCGTCACTATCAATTGAAAGTGATTGGATATCATTCAGTGGAAGAAAACGAAGAATTGTATTAAATTAATGGTAACGCGCAAGTGATAAATTAATAAGAGAAAAAAACCTCGTTCAGTTATTAATATTGTTAGACGATGATTAAGATAAGGAAATCCCCATGGCATGTTGATAGATGAGAGATATGAGAAGAGCTCGATTAATACCTGATCAGGTAGATCATCGAAACATGTAAATAACACCATATGTTGGTATATACGACTATTTCTGTACCTATAGACTTTCTTTTTTATATTCATTGATGAACGAATCTTTTATATCATTTCTTCAGATTAACCGTCGGTATAAGAAATGACAATATATGTTAAAGATTATCTTCATCATGAAAACGAAACTATGACGAATTTTTCGTTTTTCTTACGTTCGATTTCATGAGATACATTTGCATTTTGAAATAGTTGCTCAACAACTAAACGAAAATCTTTTGAAATAGTTTCGATCAGTTCGAAATCGAAAAAAAACTAAATTATTTGTCTACTGAATTTGATTTTAGTCTTTGATGTTCATTATCTAATTCTTTTCATCTCAATAGTCTATTTGCGATAACATTCTTAATGATGTATTTTCTTTATTCATCTGTGTACAATGATAAAACTAATTCCTCACAAATACCGACATTCACATTGCAGTTTTAAAAAGAAAAATAAATAAAAACTTGATAATGTATTGATTCCGCTCATAATATTGATACGTCGATTTTGACATTTTTTTAACCGAAATTTCGTTTGCTACCTAAAAAAGTTTCATAATCAATTTAAAAGACCAATCTAACCTGTTCTTTGACTTGTTTAGTGTATAAAATGAATTTCTCTTTTAATTTCTGTTGTTCTGTTAAAGAATTTGATACTTTTTCTTCTAATTCTTTTTGTTATACACGATTACGTTCCATAGAAATTTTCTTTTGTTAAAAATAATTTTTCAGACGATCAACAAATTTATATGAATCACGAATTAAAAATAAACGATCTAATTGTCTATTACTAATTGATATAAATATGGAATCAACATTTTTTAAATCTTAAATGAAAAACAAAGACTATGTTGATATTCATTAAGATGTTGTTTTAGAAATGATTGAGACTTAAAAGAAGTATGAAGAATTTATTTATTGTTTCAAAAACAATTGAACTAACTCGATAAAGTTAATGCATCATTACTACGAGCAATATCATCATGAACTAATTAAAAAGAAAAACAAAATACTTGGATGAATTGATCTATTGATAGCAACTTTTCTAACAGCATCACGAATTGAATTAGGATAATCAAGTAACTATGATGTTGTATCAATAACAGTTCAATCAATTTCCGTTTCCTAAATAACAAAAAAGAATATGAGGAATAAAAAACTGAGAATATATTTATACCGCATCAAAATCAACAACATCAGTTTGATTTACTGTTTGTTTAACTGCAATTCCTTCAGTCATTGTTGTTGTTAAATCATCATCTAATCGTAAAATAATATTTGGTTCTTCTTCATTAACTTCTGCTGCCTCTATGAATTTATAATTTAATGGTGGTCGTTTAACACTCGCAGACACATGACCACGAGTTCGCCATTGATAAACTGTTGTATTTCTACTTTCAATTAAATATTTAATTAGAGGTAAAAACTCTTCATTATCAGATTTCAATGATGGAATTGAACTTGTATCCCCATTCACTAATTCTGTATATATATTTCATAGGTAAATATTTAATATGTTGAATTAATTCTCGCTGAACATTATCATCCTAAATTAAATAGAAAATAAAATAATTACACTAAATCTGAGACTAACTTCAATTAACATATCATTGCATAAATATGCATATTGCTTTTCAATTTCATGAATATTTTTAGCTAATTCTACATGACGTGTATGACATTCTTCTCAAATTTGTTGACATTTATCAATTTACTTTTTTTCGATGTGATTCATATTTTGACTTAATCTCGAGGCGGGCTGGGATGTTTTCTTTTCGTCGATACAAGGTCAATAAACAGATTTGAAATTTTTATTAGTCTGGTTAATGTTAAATGCTGATTACCAAGATGATTTTAGTTTCCATTCAAATTGTACTTCTGATTGAAATCTACGAAATATTAGTCAAAGAAACTCGAGTCATGTCTGAAGACATGTTTCCCTCGGACTTTTTTTTCGCTGATCATTCATTTTTTTCTCCGATGTTTACTTAACATTTCGTAGCGCTTAAAAATTCTTATCAAACTACATGAAAGATACCTTAATTCGCTACCATATTGACAGTGAAATAGACCTGATTATCATCAACGGTCGGACGTCATACACTTATTGATTATTTCAAATGATCTGAGTTCAGTGTAAACAGTTGCAACAGAGTAAATTCTACCAGCGATCAGTTTAGAAAGCCTTGTTTAATAATTTTGCTTGGAAAAATCTTCCCATGAGAAGTTTTCATCGACTATTGAGCTCCTCTTTTGTGCTAAGAACCTCTTCATATTGATATTAGGTTTCATTGTTTATATCTATCTTCTCAAGCATTTATCTAATTTGTCATATTCAAATGCTATCCTTTAAAACTACTCAACTAAATTTGTTTTCTTGAATTGAATTGAATTCATGCGACAAATTTTTCATATCGAAGAAAAAAGTAGAGAGGCCAAGTGGCCTGGCATTTTTAAGCGGTCTGCCTGTCACAGAGCAAGCCTAAAAATCATGTTCTCTTTCAAGTTAGACCTACTTATTTTCATCTTTACATTGTTTCTTCCGTTTCTGTTCTCCTAAGATCAATGAAAAAAGTTATTGACCTTGACTTCACGATTGCCCATTACGAATTTCGTAATACATAACATCAGCGAAAACAAGTTTAGATAAAAGAGCACTTTTTCCGAACTTTTTCACCATTTTACTCAGGGAGACAACATATACCAAGAAATGGTGTCATTTACATCATTTTTTATGAAATTTTTATCAAAAAAATATGCTGTCAATTTTGATAATGAAGCAAACATAATATTTGTTGCTTTTGTATATTCATCTATGAAAACTGCAGTTTTCATTCATGAAAATCCTCTGGTGAAAATCATGAAAGCAAAAACCATTATTATTTGACCTGATTACTAAATTATTCATGCAGGGAAAATAGTTCTACCCACTGGTACAGGCATATTCATGCGGCTTAATAGAAGCGGAAAAGGTTTAGG